TTTAAAATGAAAACTACGGAGGCATTCTTTTGAAGTTTATTAAGTACTAAAATAAATGAGAGAATAATTTCAGTTTGTTTATATGGGAGGAAAGAAGCACAAACGAATATATTTTGAGCAAGAGAACATTTGATCTGCTTTCAAAGCAAACACTGGCATCTCCAACTGTCATCAAATTTCAAGGACAGGACAGATCAGAGAACTAAAGAGCCAATGTGTTGTGTTATTTTGGTGGGATCCTGAGCCCCAGTCCCAGCTGAGGCAAGAATGCTACTGGAAAGTTTGTCTACTGTTCATCCTCTCCTTTGTCCTGTGTAAAGTTATCTTTTTAAGAGCAGTGCTAAAAGAATATTTTCTTTCTATCCTAATTTTTGCTGCATCATATAATTCCAGTGTCATTTCAGACAACACATAAATTGGGGGAAGAATAATTGCCTCTCAGTATTACTGAAATGAAATGAGATAGTCTTAAGACATTTATTCATGCCTGAAACAGAGCAAGTACTTGATAAATAGAAAATTCTTAATTTTATGTTTAAATTGTACACAAAATTGTTAAATATGGCAAAAGATAATTATCTTAAGAATTTCTATCTGATATCCAAATGACATAAAATTGTTAAAAAAGCTATCCAATATCTGCACTGTATTTGCATATATTAAATTTTTATTCTGGTATGTTTTTTAACGTATACTTAATACTCAAGGATAGACAAATAAAAAAATAGCAAAACTCCACACAACATAGACAATTTCATTCTCAATAGAGAAAGACTAAAAACATTTTCCTCACAAACATGGTCTAGACAAGGATGCTCACTATGACCACTTTTATTCAATATATATTGAAGTATTTGCTACAGTGTTGGCTGGAGCTTCCCGACTAAATCAAGCCTGGAAGCAGGAGAGGCATCTACTTCCAAACTGGCTTGCCTCCGGAAACTCTGTGTACGAACAGTGCTCAGGCTGTTCGTTCATAGGGTCGCTACGAGTCGTCTACGACTCAACGGCATTAAACAACAACAACAACAACAACAACAACAACATTAAAAGAAGAGAAGGAAGTAAAGGATATCCATATTGGTAAAGAGATAGTAAAACTGTTGTTATATGCAGATGACATGATAATGTACAAAAATATCATCTTGTGTAAAAGACTGAGTTATTTTCTTTTATTTCAACAATTTGTGAGTAGTTAAGTTACAAAAGAAGAATTGATGCTTTTGACCTTTGTTATTGGAGAAGAGTACTGAATATCTCATGGAATGCCAAAATAACAGAGATATGTCTTGGAGAAAATACAGCCAGAATGCTCTTTGGAGGCAAAAATTACAAAGCATCATCTCACATACTTTGAGCATGTTACTAAGAGAAGCCATTCTTTGAAAAAGGGCCTCATGCTTGGATAGGTAGAGGGTTGGTGAGGGAGAAAAATACTTTCAACCAGAAGGATTGACACAGTGATTGTAGTAGTGTTCTCAAGTGTGTCAGAGATGAAGAGGATGGCACAAGATAGGACAGATTTCAGATATGGTGTTCATAGGGTATAGGTGAAGGGATCAACATGAAAAAACTATAATAAGAATCTATATTATGAAACTTTAATGATAGAAAAAGATGAAAGGTCAGGAAAAGAAAACACCCTCAAACATGATGGGTTGACACAATGACTCTATCCATATTGTTGAATATGTCAAAGATTATAAGGATGGTGTGGAAATGGGCATAGTTCAGATCTATTGTTCGCAGGATAACAATGAATCTTAGTAATCCTGATGGCACTAACAACAATACATACTGAAGAAAATAATGAAGTTTGTACTTTATTTCTTTTGTTTATGAATCAACTATTGGAAGAAAATTATACTTTAGACATAGAAGGCATTTAAGTCACATTTGGATATTGCTTCACAGCAGAAAAAGCAGTAATTGTATAAGAAAATTTTAATTAGACTACGTTCTCTTGTCTGAACAACAAGGAAGTCAAGGACAATTTATATTTAATAATTTTCCTGGTGGATAAAATATTAGATGATGAAGTTATCCTCGTGTTACTCAATTTACATTAAAAAACAGTATATTCCAAATAAATAAAATAGAATTTACTTTCCCATATGAAATACAGAATCTGTCATAGTGAACAGAACATTTTGTGTATGAATCAATAATAAATTGTTCATATAAAATGGAATAAATTTGCAGTGCTCTTTGAACTATTTGCTTTAAGTATACAACATGATTTTACCCCTTTAATGATTCATCTTTTGCCTAAAGATTATTTTGTACAGAAAGATTTTTGTTCAGCTATAAAATTATAACTGAAATGAAAACAACCTAAATCTTTTTTGTGAGTCAAAATAACTTTTGTTTACTAATGTTATACTTTGTTTTACATTTTGTTTCATTGGACTCTGTTGCTTTTGCATATTAGACATATATTCCAATAAACAAAACAGATAAGCAATTTTCTTATAACCATCTGCATTGAATGAGGCTATATTTTGTAATTCATTCAGGAAATTACACATTAAACATGTTTATTATCAAATGGTAAGCAAATATTTTTATTCAATATTGCATTAATATAATATTTTGTTTGTTGTTAAGTGCCGTCGAGTCGCAGGCGACTCATAGCAACCCTCCTCCTTCCAAGCTTATTTTAAACAGGGAGCTCCACCCCACTCTGTTGTCTGCATTGGGTAACCAGCCATTAACACCCTTGACACATCAGTGTCACAGTGTTCAGCCTCACAGCAACCACAAGTGACCGCTGTATGGCAACGTGTACACCAGGGCTATATGACCTAGAGGAATGTTCGGAGTCCTCAAACCTACCACGCCTCCAATATAATATACTTTTTAAAAAATAAAATTTTAATTTCACAATGGTTTGCTTACAAAGTTCGCATACATACATTGTTTTGTACACAAGAACTTTCTTCTTCCTTTACTCACCCTTCCTTCCACCCATGAAATTGTGTGACCTTATTATTAAGTCCATCCCCTCCTATCCTCACCACTCTGCTCCCCTCTCCACCTCTTACACGGTCTACAATAATGGTTTTATACAGTATTTGTCATGATGGGACTGAGTCAGTTCTCTTAGCACAATGCTAAGTAGATAATACAATACCGTTTAGCATGAGAAATACTATGTTAATTTCTTAGATTAACTCGGCATCACAGACAATGTAATTACTGGTAGAAATAAAAATTCTGTTTTCTCAGCTTCATATATATTTATTCATGTCTAATACATGATATAGTTTTCATGCTCATTTTTTTTAATCTGAGAAAGAATATATGGTAAAACTACAATTTATAATTGTAATAAAGGATTTAAAGTGCTATGTTAATTTTCTTTCATCTTTGAGAATTTTTCTGCTTTTAATGTTCTTTTATAAGAAGGCTGGATAGTATAGTGTGTTATGTGTCTCCTGTAAGAAGCCCTGATGGTATTAAAACTTGACAGTTCAAAGCTATCTGTTGCTCCTTAGAGAAAAAATGAGGTAGACTCTTTCATAAGAAATGTTTTGTCCATAATTTGGATATTAACTGTGAACCAATTACCATTCAATGTATTAAACATGTTAGTCTAATACTTGCCATTTTTAGTGCTTAGATTTTCTTTTCTTATTAAGATGAAATAGGCCATAGAAAGACACATTCATAAAAACAAAATTCACAGAATTTAAATTCGTAAAGATACATTCCTGAAGAGAAGGAGTACAGGCAGGAGATTGTATGGTGTGATTAACAGGTCAACAGCCTGGCAGTTCAGTGATTTCTAGTTCTAAACTAGATGAGCAGACTTGAATCTTTTCTTATATAAAACATGGAAATTTGAAGTATCAGTAATTTGAAAACTAACAAATCACACACATACAAAAACTCACAGAAGATTCCACTGATATCCTTAAAAACATTACTCTTTGTTGAAATCTACTAGCAACTCCAAAGAAGAAAGATGAGGAGTCTCCTCCTGTGTTATTCACAGACTCTGAATATTCATTGAAATGACTCTTACTTGGTGGCAATGAGCTGAGTTTGCACTGTATATATAAAATATCTATGTTTAGCTTTCAGATATGTCAATATCAATGTAGACCGACTCAGTCAATATACACATATACATCTAATGAACTTTGTACATAGCGTGGCATTATTTTGTTCTTCTTCATTTTCTAGTTTTAAATTCCTACATCTCTAGGTTGAACTTAAAAGAAGATACATTATAAAACATCAGTAATTACATGTTCTTTAGCTAGATCTATGGGATGACTAAATTAAAAAGCAAATGTGATCATTATTAATTCCTTGAAATGTTAGATATGAGCTGACTCTACTTTTATTATAGTTCTTTAGTGATAACACATTAATTCATGATGGAATGGTTAAGTTCCTAGATGATAGAAGAAAAGTTGGTGGTTTTAAACTGCTAGTAACTGTGGGATAAAAGACCTGGAGATACTTTCCTGTAAAGATTCTAGCCTAAGATACACTATGGAATAATTGCACGCTGTCTTACAGGGCTACTATAACTCTGCTGGGCGACATACAACAATGACAGTGATATAACTATTGTAAACAAATAATTTTGTATCTCTGAATTTAATATGATTATAATATCAACTATATAATGGGGGATGCATTTTTACAGAAATACAATTATTTCTGAGTCAACAAAGACTCATAGCTTGTATCTTTATGGTATCAGTTTATTATTATTATAGCTGTTTACAGCTGTTAGCATTTTTGTTTCATCATGCCTGGGAAAGTTCTCAAAAATAACATTAGATCATTATCCTGAGTTCAATAGTTTTTATTCCAACCTGGTAAATATTTATTTTCATTATTATATTACTTGTGACTGCCATGTAAAACAAATCTTAAGTTTTCATATCCACGCACTCATTTATCTTAATATATAAAGGTGATACCCATTACAGGCTGTATGGTGATGGCCGAGCATGACATTTACTTGATTTTTTTCCCACCAGCTCCCTGTGGAGGGCAGTACACTGGATCTGAAGGGGTTGTTTTGTCACCAAATTACCCTCACAATTACACAGCTGGTCAAATATGCCTCTACTCCATAACTGTACCGAAGGAATTTGGTAAGAATTTCTTTCACATTTAAGTAATTGTCAATATACTTAAAATATTGAGTTGTTTTGTTGTTTTTTTTTCCTATCATTTACTTTCTAAAAATCTTTCAATCAAAGTACACAAGAGCGTGTGAGTTCTATCAAAGTAGAAGAGTTTTAAGGAAGAGTCTAAAAAATATCCTTTACAATTCTGCATGTGCTATGAAAGAATTAGATTCTCTTCAGTGATTCTGATTTAGCATAATCAAAGAGAGTTCATATTCTTATTTTCCTCAGAAATAATTCTTGCAATTAATTATGTGTAAGGCAAGATTGCAAAGAAATTTGGAATAAGAACAGTATCTATTTCTTTGAATATAATTACTGTATAGGTTTTATAACCTGAATAAAATGAAAATCATTAAGTATATGAACCAAAATTAAAAAATTAGAAATTAGGAAACAGTCAGAGTTTTTACTTCCCTAAAATCCTATATTGTTTTGTTAAACTTCACCTAAATTCTAGACCAGTTTTTCAAAACGACAACATTCAAAATGGCCTTCCTTTGTTACTTCACACTTTATGAAACCAACACTAATTTCTTGCATCTCTACTCTCATTCTTGACTAAGTGTATTTATTTTGCATTGGATTCTTTTTTCTAGAGAACTCCAGATAGTAGCTTTATAGAAGTTTTTTGTTTGTTTTTTTTCTAACATAAAACCCACTTCATTGCCAACATTTATTTTCCATTTAAAACATCAGTTTCTCATGGATGGGAAAAAAGAAGATAAAAATGAAAATGTTGGATTTATTCTGAGGTGAAAAATTACAGAATAAAATTATATGGCAAAAACACTGATTGCTTTGCAAGGGAATTTCATATTGCAGGCAATGACTTTTGTAGATTTTTATTATGGGGTTACTTATGTATATCTTAAAATCTAATGAGACCTGAACTTAATCTTTTGCTTCAGACTTATTCTTGTTAGGGTCCCTCACATCCTAGACTGAATTTGACTGATCAAAAATCAACAATTTTGTTTTTAATCTGGATGTTATTAAGAACAATATCATTTTATGACAGGATTTCCTAGTAACCCTTGCTTTTATCAGGCTAGAACTTGATTTTTTTTTCCAAATGTAAATGCAACACCATTCTTCCTGTGTTTTCCATTCCAGCCATAGAACATCATGTGATTCTCAGATTCAAAGTGACCAAAGCCAATCCATCTCATCTCACTAATGCCTAGAATGTCAATGTTTATGTGTTTCATTTAATTTTACAAAATTTCTAGTTTTCTACATTCATACTTTGTGCATCACATGCTTCTACTATTGAAGGATCTTTGATGCAATTTCTCCTCATTTTGTTTTACTTTCAATCTATAACTATCTGTGTTCCTGTACTGTCTTAGGTCTTTTCAGAGTCCTGATATTTCAAAGGGGATGAACAACCCTTCTACCTCATCTGTCTTGACTTGACTAAAATATCCTTTGGTATTTAGCACACTGGTGGTACCGGCTTTAGTATCACAACCCCCAGAAGTTACCTCAGTATAGCAAACTGAAACACAAGTGCTGTACTAATAGAACAATGATAAGCAGACAAAATAAAAGATATCCATTTAACAAAGGAATTAGCAATACATAGTCCCAGTACAAAAAATGGACAGATAAGTATTATAGCTTAGGAGGCTTAAAGTCTGAATCCCAGGTGATAGCTCTAGGGAAGGTTTTCTCTCTTTGGCTGTTTTGGAAAAAGTTCTTTGTCTCTGAAATTTTGATCTTGAAACACATTTATGAGAAATAAAAGATGATCTTGAGTCTATCTCACTTGAATTTAAAAATGTTTTTAAAAATAGTTTGAAATATTGAGCACCAACTATCAAAGACCAAATGAGTTGTGGGAGGACATCAATGATATCATCCACAAAGAAGGCAAAAGTTCACTTACATAAACAAAAGAGGAAAGAAAAAGTAAAATGGATTTCAGATGAGACCCTGAAAATTACACAAGAGCACCAAGAAGCCAAAAGATATTGAAATAAAATAGCTGAGTAGAAGATATCAAAGGGTAGCAAGAGAAGACAAACAAAACTAATAGAATGGAATATGCAGAGACCCAGAATTGTGTAATAAAAAGGGAGGAACTCAAGTATTTATCAAGGTAAAAGAACTCAAGCATTTATCAAGTTAAAGCATCAAAGGAGGTGGAAAGAATACACAGGATCACGGTACCAAAAATAACTGTCTGGCACTGAAATATGGTGACACAGGGGCAAGAAGCTGTGCTGCAATCCTAAAGGCATACAGTTCAAGGCCGTTAGCTACTCTGCAGGAGAAGGATGGGCAATCTCCTCCCATGTGAACTGCCTCTGAAAACTCACAGGAGGTTCAGCTATGGGTGGTTCTTACTTGATGGTAAACAACAACCACCATATGATCAGGAGCCAATGGTAAGGAAGACATTCAAGTTCTAATGAAAGAACTGGCAAAAATAAAGCTCCAGAAATTGACAGGATACAAATGAACATGTTTCAAATGGCAGATGAAGCTCTGAACATACTTACCAGTCTATGTCAGGAAATTTGGAGGACAGCTGCCTGGCTGACTAACTGCAAGGGTTCCATATTTGTTCCAATCCCAAGAAAGCTGATCCAAAAGAATGTGGTAATTATCAAACAATATTTGTATTGCCTGCAAGCAAAATACTGCTTAGGATCATTCAAAGATGTATATTGATGGGAAACTGCCAGTAATTCAAGCTGAATTTAGAAGTCAAGGCATCAGGGATATCATAATTGATGTCACATGGATCCTGACTGAGAGTAAAGAATGCCAAAAGGAGGTCTATTTGTGCTTTATTTACTATGCAGATAATTGAATTTGTGGATCATAACATGTTAAAGCTAATAGTGAGAAGAATGGAATTCTTACAACACTTAATTGTGCTCATGCGAAACTTATTCCTAGACCACAAAGCTGTGTGAACAGTACAAGGGAATACTACATGGTTTAAAGTTAATAAAGGAGTGTGTCAGGATTTTATCCTTTTGCCATACCTATTCAACCTGTATGCTGAGCAAAATATTCAAGAAGCTGGACTCTGAAGAAGAATGTGGCATCAGCATTGGAGGAAGACGCATAACTAGCTTACTTTATGCAGATGACATAAACTTGCTTGCTGGAAGTGAGGAGGACTTGAAACACTTATTGCAGAAGATGAAAAATGCAGCTATCAATAAATATTGCATCTCAACATCAAGAAAACGAAATTTCTCACCACTAGATCAAATAATTGAAACGGTCAATGACTTCATCTTAAATTACTTCATCTTACTTGTACCCACAATCAGTACACTGTGTTCCAACAGTTAGGGAATGAGGAGATGTATTGCACTAGGAATATGGTCATGGACCTCTCCAAATTACTGAAGAAATTATTTGAGGACTAAGTTCAATTGATCCAGACCATTATCTTTTCAATCATTTGCTATCCTGATGAGAGCGGGACAGTAAAGATGGCAGTATTTATATCTTTGAGTTTATCTGTTGGAGGAGAGTACTTAATGGACTGTTGAAAGAAAAATTAATATCATGGAGAAGGGGCCACAAGGGTGCTATTCGGAAGCAAGGATGATGAGGTTTCATCTCACATGCTTTGTGCACGTTGCTAGGAAAGGCTATTCCTTGGAGAAGGACGTCACACTTGAAAAGGTCAACCCAGTGGATTAACACTCTGACTGTCACAATGGGCTTGAGCATGTCAGAGATTGTGAGGATGGCATAGTAATAAATAGGGTTCAGGTATGTTGTTTATAAGGTTGCTGTAAATTGTGCTCAACAAGACAGCATCTAACATTAACTTGTTTTTTTAGAAGAAAATTCCTGGTTAGAAAATGAAAGAATGAGTAAGTGTACTTATGGAGTTATGATCAGAAAATTAACTTTCTCAAATTCAAATAAATTACGAAGTCAACTCAGAATCATATAAATATCTTGGAAAATATTATTCTCATTTAAGGATAGAGGAACATGTTTCAAAATGTCTCATTTTTATAACAAATAATTCATAATATTTATAAGAAGGTGTAAATTTTTATTTTTTGCATTAAATATTAGAAGTAAGAGCCTTGATGTAGTCTGTTAATTCGTTTTGAGAAAAATTAATTTTACTCATAAATACTCAATAATGTTCCACTAATTTACCACCATTACTTACTTTTATATAAAAATAATCTTTTATTGAATGATAAAGAAAAGTATTTCTATTGTAATGGAGCAGAGAAAACTCAGGTGGTTTAGTGGTAGGGATTTATGCTGCCAAAAGATGCACAGTTCAAATCCATCACTTGCTGCATGGGAAAGAGAGGGGCATTTTCCTCCCATAGAATTTATTACCTCTAAAAACCTGTTGGAAGGTCAGCTTTGAGTTGATTAGAATTCCACAAAGCTATTGCAATTTTAATTTCTGAAAATATATTACAGAATTAAAAAACAATTATAAATAGTCTAAATATCTGAAAATCTTAATAACAGAGAACTGTTATAGTCAATTTTGGCAGAAAAATTTTGCTTGTTCTATAATTACAGACAAATAGATAGCTATTATAGAGACAACTCTACCCATGGGGATCTTCTGTACAATAGAATAGAGTATTGCTGGTCTGGCATCATCCTCATACATGTTGGGTATGTTTGAGTCTGTCTTTGCAGATATTGTACTAATACCAAGCATCTCCTATACCTTTTTTGGCTCTCTATTTCACCAATCAAAATATCTATTCTGGTGATTGATCTTTGCTAATTATGTCCTAGAGGTAAGGAGTTGTGCTGCCAAACTAAATTCATACAGTTTAAAACCACTAGTTTTTCTGTGGAAGTAAGTTGGACAGTCTTCTCCTGTAAAATTCACAGCTCTGAAACCCGTGAGCCAGCCATGGATCAGTACTGTCTCTATGACATTTATCAGAACAAACAATGATGTCTCCAAAGGCAGTAATTTAGCCCATGCTCTGTTGTGATTCGTAATGGATCAGTTGTCCTTCCTTCCTTCCTATTCTACTTGAGCCTAGAAGCTCCACTGAAACTTGTTCACCTGACCCTGGTGATACCTGACATACAGATAGCACATCTCCCAGCATCATAATTACAGAATGAAAAAATATGTGAAATAATATCATAATGCAGAGTACTTGCTGAAAATCTATGGAGTCTGATTTTTAACTTTCTTCTTTAAACTTTCTTATTATTAAAGGAACCAATACAACATAGGGGTGGCAGAGTCTGACTTCTCCCTACTTCATAATAGGGAACTGTTGCCATCAATAATAGTCCTAGCAGCAAACAGATAGCTGCTGTGTCAGACATGCCAAACCCCATGCTCCTTCACCTTTTTCCACCAACCACTGAGTTCAATACTAGTCATTGACTCACAGTTTACTCACAGTTGTGGTACCAAGAATGGGATTTATTAGGGAAACAGATTGTGGAATAGGAGAGGCAAAGAAGATTTCATAATACAAATTCAGGGTTAGTCCAGCAGTCCCAAGCCAAATTAATGGGAAAATATAATTTCTTAATTAGTAAAAGTTCAGTTCAGACACATAAATCAGGAAGCCTCTGGTTTCCTCAATCATCCATTACCTCAGAGCAATTATAAGTCTGCTTGTTCTTCAAGCATTTGGCAAGAATAACAAAATCTTTAATGTGCCCAGCACAAATGCAAGAAGCCTTAGGCCACATGTTGCTTCAGTGTCTTCACAGCATTGCCACAACCTCTCCATCTCCATCACCAGGTATCACCACTTGGGTCTTGCTCTGATCTAGCTTTCACCAAGGTCTCCCTCAAGTCTTGCTGCCCAGTGTGGAAATCACTTCCTCTCTTGTCCTAGTCCCAAAGGTGTTGATGATTTGCAAGACTTTATGTCTCATTTAAGGTAGCTGAAGAATAGAGGGGGCAAATGCAATGGCTAGAAAAGCCAACTTTTCAGCTAACACTGCAGCATTTATTTAATTTAGCAAGATACTGTGATAAAATGAAAGGCATTCTCACAGTATAGAATGAAAAGTCAATGTGAAAAGCAAACACATCAGTTGACTTGAAGTGTGCTTGGTAAGAAGGTGTTGCAAAAACTCTACATGGGAAATGACATTCTACTACAGATCTTTGGATACCCTTCCTATATCTTAAATTTCATCCTGAAAAAATTTATAAAGCATTTTCAAAGAAAATACATGATTATTTTATATATGATAAGTAAAAGACTTTTTACTGACTCTCTTTGTATATACAGAACATATTATACAGTGTCAATCTGTTTTTTCAGACTTGAATGAGTTCATCTACCATAGAACACTGTAACTCAGTTATCAAAACTTATCCTTAATCAACTGAGTATTGGTTAAACCAGACTATTTTCTACATTTGACATCTGAAAAATCTTGCTTTTCATATTCTCTCTCTCTCTCTCTCTCTCTCTCTCTGTGTGTGTGTGTGTGTGTGTTTACTCTTAAACGAAAAAATGTTTACATTTCCATCAATTAAAAATTAGTTTTAATGCTATCACTCTCATAAAATATTCATCTTTACCACAACAGGAGAGAAGCATTCTTTCTATTTAATCCTAATAGTCTGCTCTGGCCATTTGTTGTTCAGAGGTAACTCGTGGTTGCTGTGATGCAAAAGACTGTGACACTTATTTATCAAATGTGATAATGGTTACCCATGATGGACAGTGTTTGGTGGAGCTCCCAGAAAAAAATAGAGTTGGCAGCAAGAGTGGCATCCACTTCTGAAATAGCTTGCCTATGGAAACTCTATAACTTAGTGAAATGATGAAAGTTATGCAAATGTCTAGGTTTTTCGTTCATAGGGTCACTGTGAGTCATCTATGACTCAAAAGCACTTAATAACACTTAACAACAGGATCTTAATAACAGTAACAACAGCCCATTATATGCAGTTTCTCACATCCCTGGCATAATTGTGCAATGTCTTAGTAGGCTAGAACTCATTTGAGTTGAATTCAACCGCAGGTTGCTAGACTTTGAGGAATATGTCTGTGACCAACTACAGTATTAGTCAGGTTTTCCTTTTTTGAAATAATGTTATTTCCCCATAATCCTGCATTTATTATCCAAAGTACTGGAACATTAGATTATGATAGTTTGGGTACAGATTTTATATATATTTTTTTCATTGCTTTAACCTTAGCTTTTAGCTAAGAATAAAAAGTGTAGCTTGCTCAATCTTTGTAAAATAAAAGTAGAAATTATGTATGATTCAGTTTTGTGCTATTTAAACAGTCCAAGCATGTTGTCTCCAATTTAATGAAGATTGTATTGATTTTCATGTTTGTAGTGAGGAAATAATTTTATAAACACAACATTGTTAACATTTTTCACTCCCTACACCCTTCTAAATGCCACCACCACCAAGTTTCTGGACCAATATGTATACTATGATAATCAACTTCATTATGATACATTTTAATTGTGAGATCGTACCCTGAAGTAATCAAGTAATTATAAAATGTTAGACTACAAGGTTATATGTACAGCATTCCATATTTTTACGTTAGCAAGAGGCGAGTAAGGTTTAAGGCTGTTGTACAAAGTGTTGCTATGAGTTCCAAGTGACTCAACGGCACACAACAACTACAACAATTATAAATAACTTGTAATAATATATCATGATATCATTATAAATAAATTATAATTGTTTGTTGTTGTTGTTTAATGCCGTCGACTCGTAGACTACTCATAGCGACCCTATGAATGAACAGCCTGAGCACTGTTCATACATAGAGTTTCCGGAGGCAAGCCATTTTGGAACTGGATGCCGCTCCTGCTTCCAGGCTTGATTTAGTCGGGAAGCTCCAGACAACACTGTCCACCATGGGTGCCCATTACCATGATTGGCACATCACTGTCACAGGCTTCAGCTTAAGGCCGCCTCCTGGTTCAAACCCTAGGCCCAGGCTGGCTAGCCTCACTCCAGGGACAGAGCAAACCTGCACGTCAAACACATTCCCAGAAAAGCAATCCACTCGAAAAGCATGCCACGATTCCTGCACTCCCACCACCATGCTCCTGCCTTCTGACAAGGAGAGCTTCCCAAGATTATAAATAATTTTAGCAA